ACTGAGGCACAAGCACGGTTTTTATATTTTGACTCATATTTATTTTTCGCATCGATTAATATGGATTTTTAATATTCTCAAGTTTTCGAAAAACGCGTGATTTACGTAACCAGAGATAAACATAGATAAAGACAAGCAGCAGTTGTCTCTTGCTCCAATGTTAGTCATGGAAAAGTGCTAGATATTGACAAAATCTAAATTTTGTCTTGCTTAGAAAGACAGTATTCTAGTAACTAATAAATCTACAATCATATAGGTAATTTAAAAAATCAAGATTTGTGTAATAGCACATAATTATTTGTTTATGCCAATAACCAATAAATTATAAGCTTTGCAGCTTTTCAGAAATTTTGTGTACACACTAAGCGGGTAATTTGAATTTGTTATATGCATTTTAATTGTTTGAATTTCATAGGGTGGGAACTGTTAGCTCCGGATAAATTTATTTGAGTAATATAGAAATTTTATTAATATTGCCCAATAAAATTATAACGTTGACGCATTTAAAAAGAAAAGTTCATATAAACTCTTGTACTTGTACGTGCCCTTACTTTTCTGCTGCAAAATTTATTTTCGATAAATGTTGTTAATTTGTTAATCAAAACACCATATTTTCAGTATTTCATAAGGGTCTCAGGTTTTAGTAGTAAGAATATTTACTTTTACATGCCCTTACGTTTCTGCTGCGGGCACGCAAAAGTAAAAAATTCAACCAATTTGGAATATACTGTAGATATACATTCATGTATATTACCGGAATATTTGTTTTCAACATACTAGGTATATTACCCTGCACATATACACAATATGTACATACCTGGAATGTTCATCTGCACATATACCCAATATGTACATATATGTACATACATAGGATATACTTTTTATGAACTTTGATGAATATACATGCATGTATATTCCACGAACATTAATGTTAGGAATGTTCACCTATGTATATTCCCAGGATATTCCCGCAATGTTCTGTATATTTTTTGAACATTCTGGGATATTCAAAGAATATGAAATGCGATCTGGGTCGAAGGGTGCATTAGTTAAAAATTTCCGAAAGTCCCATCAAATGCCCGGAAAAATTCAAACCCGATCCCGTTATAGAACCGGCTTTCTTTTAAAAAATCAGTATTTTATCTTCTGCAGTAGTCAACTGGCGAATTTTTGAATCAGAGCCCGCACAGCGCCAAGGCAAAGCTCAAAGTGTGGGTTTTTAGACCAACGATCAAAATACCTTCGAGTACTCAGCAAATAGACTCGCCTCAGATTTAGAGCCAACTTCGCTCTATCACTGAAATAAACTTCTCAGCTTCAGAAAGCGATATTTTGAAATAGAGCCCACAAAGCATCAACTTAGAGCCTAAAGTGCGCGTTTAAAAAAGTTCAAAATTTCAAATGCAATGTTCAAACTCGTCCCAGATCCAGATCTATCGTTGATCTATATCTAGCAAAAACATACACTCTCTATCTACCGCAGGAGCATTAAATCACTAGAGGTTTTAATGTGAAAAATCTCAAACTCAGTGCAAGATATCGACTCGGAGCAAGTACACGTTTTCTGATTAGGAAAAACACTTCTGGCATTTTATATTGCAGTTAGCTCTCTTCATCTACCAAAAGTTAAGGAACTTTTTTGGCAGTGGCAGAACTGGATAAAACTTATGTAAAAAACAGAAAAAATATTTACACTTTTACACCCTGGAGCTCGGAATCTGCGAACTTTCGCATAAAACGAATTTGCCTTAATCGCAATGTTTTTGCCCTGAACTCAGTGAACTTTGTCCCATGTGCTTCATCTACCCATTTTCACCTACGACTTTTGGTCCGTGATCTGCAGGTTTAATCATCGATGCCTTCGGTGAGCTTCGTGATCAGTTGGAAAAAGTGATCGAAGATATGGATTCAAACTGTTTCATTTGCGGCCTGGACAAAGGCTATCTTGATAAAGTTCCACATGGTTTTGATACCCATGTGCAACAGGAGCACAACCTTGCTAACTACATGTAAATAAACAAGCTTTGTTGTTAACAAAATTTTCATATTTGAATGTTCTGCTTAGGTTCTTCCTTATGCACTTGATCAATAAACCAGACACAGAGTACACAGGCCAGGAAACGTACGTGTGGAACATGTACCAGCAGCGCTGTTGGGACTTCTTTCCTATGGGTGACTGTTTCCGGAAACAGTACGAAGACGAGATTGGAGGAGGAGGTGGCTAGACTCACTTTTCCGGGTTTGTTTCTGATAAGTATGCTCAAAAAACCGTTAGTACGATATGTAAAGCAGCTTTTACAATGTCCACACACAGCAGAATTAGTAAATCGATTTATAATCTACGAGTGTATTGATTGTTACGAGTTTAACACTTTTTGTATATAAGACGCATGAATAGGCAAAAGCGACATAATGCCTATTTTTAGCGCGTTGGCGGCTTTGAGAGTAAATGTTAGTTTGTATGTAAATGAATAATAAACAATAAATAATAATTCTTTAAGGATTGTTTTTGTTATCTGCTCCAGTTATTTCGGGTTTTAAATATTTCCAGATAGGCGAACGTATGCACAAACAAGAGTGAGCTGAAAAACCCTCATTTTTAAAGCGTGCAAATTTGTCCTAAATTTTGAAATTTGCAGCAATGGATTAGTGCAACAAATTGCCACTATTGAAGAACACATAATACAAATATAAAAAGTCTTGCAATCTTTTTACCAATCACTTTTGGTCTACCCGCCCAACTTTTCTGGAATTTTGAAGCCGTTAGAAGTATAAACTCTTAAAAAAAACTTAAAAAAGAAACTTGAA